GACATCTAGAATACACGTTTAGCCTTTTTGTTTTCTAAGCACTAACATTACATGTTCTTTTAACAACTGCCTACACAAAACTGCCAAATATTATTACCACAATTATCAAATGTGCATTACGTTTACTGGAGAATTACTCACAGAAACTGCTATATAAATTCAAAATCTGAATGTAGCGGGCATATAATACATGCTTCATGCATCTAAAGATTTTAAGGCTACACTTTGCTGGAATTACATTCTTCCATTCAGTAATAAACAGGAATGAAATTCATTCCACCAGCAATGTATGGTGGCGGTCATCTTTAGCATTCCCTGACTTTCAGTTGATGTGCACCTATTCTAAGAATGAAAGAAAGTTTGAAGGGATGGACACAGGCGCATCTAGTACTGACTGCAAATGGAAAAGCCTGACCTGAGGGTGACAGAGCAGAAAGAGCTTTCAAAGCCTCCTTCCTTGTGCGGTCATCTTTAGCATCCACCAACATGTTTACGAGCTCTTGAGCACCACCCATCTCCACTATTTTCATCCTCCTTTCATCTATAAATCAAGAGAAACAAACTTCACTATCTGACCCCTGATTTTCATGTGCTACATATTCAAAAAGCTCAAGATAGAAGTCCAATGGCAAACCATTTAACACTGTAATTTACAACCCAATTCGAGACAGTTGGATGTCTGAGAAATAATAACTTCTTATGTTATGCAGCTCAAACGCAAGGCAGTTTCTGAAAACGATTACATAACTGGTAACTCATTACCAGTCAACCAGGTATATCTAATGAGTGAATTCTCAAAATAAAATACTGACAAAACAGAAAATAGAGCTACTTCGAAGTTACCATCAATTGCAAACTGAGCTAATCGAGAAGCCCCCATTCTCTTGAACAAAGGATCCTTGACCGTTAAAAGTGACACGGACTGTTGCAACAAATTATCTCCTGGAAACGTAGTAAATTACAAGAGCAATATCAGGAAAAAATGGTAATTTATTAGTTTTCCTTCGAGTTAAAAAAAGAAAAGAAGAAAAGAAGAAGATAAAACTAGTTCAAGATTGCAATGAACCAACACGCAGAGTGACATACCCATATACGGCATGATGTTGTAAGCTATGCAAGTTGCAGTCCCAGCAAATATCAGCTTCAACAGCCATCCGATTTTTCTTTCAGCGTCCTGTTCAAGGGAGAGCTCATCTGCAATTCAATATCAGAGTTTTCATTTTCCTTCATTTTCTCAGCAACCAAACAAATAAATATTGATAGGGATAAGAGTGAGTGACCTCTTCCGTTGTAAGTTGAGAAATTGCGAGGCTGCGCATTCCGTACTGGGTTTCTTCTACAGTAATACTTTGAACACCGATAAAAAAAAATTTCACATCACATCAAAATTGGAGACAGTTAATAAAAATTAAACAAAAAATGAAACTCGAAATGGGCTTTCGTTGTTAGGTATGAAAATTTTCAATTCGAAGAAGCAGCTTACAGTGGTGAGCCTGGCTGCTAACGTGCGCATAGTGCAAAGAGATGACTGAGATTTTCCGTCGATGCTCGCTGCGGCGAAATTGAAGAGCAGAGCAGAGCAGGTCTTGGACTCGGCGGGGAGGGAAAAGGCCTAAAGCCGCTGGGTCAGGTGCTTCACTTAAGTGTCGTTAATGTTGTTTTCTGGGACTGAATCCAATGGGCCTTTATTTACAGCCCAGACATAATTAATTTCTTTTTTAAACCTCTTTTTTAGGAGGAAATTTAATTATTATTTTTTTGGTAAATAAATAAAATTTCAACGAAATTTATTTTTGGTAAATTTATTTATTTATTTGATTAAGGTAAATTGACAAGTAAAATAATTTGATCAAAAAGGTAGATTGACAATTTTCTTTTTTTAGTCTGAACCACGAGGTGATCCTGGATGGACCTCAATTATGGATGGCACCTTTAAGCCTTAACAACAACCCAGACTAATCCCTGCTCACACCGGGTCGGCCCGTAAGGGGTAAAGTGTTGACCAAAGCGGTGACTCCATACGAGAGCAGAGATCGAACCCCTGACCTCTCTTAAGGAATGAGAGTGCCGAACCACTCACCCTAACCACCTTGGTTATTGACAATTTTCTTTCAAGTGGATAAGATCACTCCACTTTTTTTAAAAAAATAAAAGTATTTCCTTCTTAACGGGAAAAAGGGAGGTAAACAAGACCTCAAATTCATAATTCTACCAAAGGCATGAACATTAATATATAAGAAACTTTTTTTTTTTCTGGCAAATTTTTATAAGGATGATCAGTGTGTAAATCAAAAGTTGATTACAACAGGAACAGGAGTGAATTTTGAACTGAGAATTTCCAGCCAAACAGGGAAATGAACAAAAAAAAGTGAATAAAGATAACTACAAAACTATTGAACTTGACATTGACAAAATTTGATGCTGCATCAGTAGCTGATCTTCGTTGAACCCCAGCTGATGACTTTGGTTCCACACACCTCGTTACCATCTCGTTAAACCAAATCACGAAAAAGCTCTATTTCCTGTCCAAAAAGTAGACAAATCATGAGAAGAGTTTGTGAAGAAAAAGAAGTTTGATTAAACTTCCAACAAAAACCACTGAACCTTCAAAGAACACTAACCTTTTGTTAAATTTTGGCGGGATTAATCCTCTTTTTTCTAGGCTCTTGAACCGATCCTTGACAAGGGTACAACAACCCTTCATGGAAAAGAAGAAAACAATTAGACTTTCCTCTAGTCTTGTCTGAATCATACACAAAGAATCGGAAACTGATGAAAGTTTTGGTAAGAAAAAAAAAATTCATATATACCTTCAGTTTCCGAAGGGATCCAGTTATTTCTTCGGTCAAGAGGACTTGAACTGGGGCAGGCTCGAATCTGTAATAGAAGAATTAACATGTTATATCAAATGCATATAATAAATACATAGAGAGAGAGAGAGTAGCATTTTTTTAGCACATACTTGTGCTTCCCCAAGCGTGGGGGGCATGACTTTAGTTTCTCTTTTTTGGCTACAACTCGTCGAATATGTCTTTTATGCTTCTCATCGTCCTCTTTAGCTATTTCCTGAAGAATATCTGGTAAGCTGTGACCAAATATGACAGGAAATTATCAGGGTGCAATCTTCACCAGAGTATATCTAGAGGCAAAAAGGTCATAGAATATATTACCCATCAATTTCTTTGGAAAGCTTCTGTGCCTTTATCGCTTCTGCTTCCTTTTTAAGCTGTTCTTTACGCCTGGCTCTCTTATTTAACATGACTGTTGTCACCCTCTTTGTTTTAAGAGGCCTGCACCATTTTTATTCAAACAATATGAGCTCATGGCATTTAGGTTTCATGACATTATCATATAAGCCAGATGACAGGAGGAAAATTTGAGAAGTTTAATCTCATAAGTATAGTGTGACAGGAAGCACATGAAAATGTACTACAACAAGCACACATCTTTGAATAAAGCATTGTCATATTGGCATACAAAGAAAGACAATTATATCAATGCTATTAAAGAAAGTTTTGTCTAATTTACCAAAATAAATAAATAAGGCATGAAATGATCTAAATTGGGATCACCTTTTCTCAGATGCAGCATCCTCATTCTCATCCAAATTTTCTGGATTCATATCATCATCAGTGCCTTCATCAGCATCGAGAAAATACATCTAATAAAGTAGATTGGTATGTCAGCTTCTCAATTAAAGTAACATGTAAATTATAACATTTTTTTTTGTCAGAGAATATATTAATTGTTATGACCCTCCTCATCCATGTTGTTCTGTAGTTCTCTAGTCTCTCTTCAATAAAGTTCTTGTTTCTTATCATTAAAGAGATCATGATCCCTAGTTATACTCTTTATAACTAAATAAATTTTATTATTTAAGACAACATTAGAAATACTCTTAAGTATAAAGGTGCAACTTTACTATGAGATGTACATAAAGCTCCACACTTGAGGCAAATTAAGATCCGTGATGATTCATGAAAGGAAAAAAAGACACTCACTTCTTCTTCATCAACAGCCTCCCCAGGAACAGTTAGAGGAACTGGTTGAGGTCCTAACTCTTTTTTGTAGACTTTGTGCATTTCTTGTGCAACAGCATGAGCCAATGTTTCCTGAATTGGAAAAACAGGAAAAGATGGAAAAACTTTATGCCATTAAAGCCAAAAGGTTCGACAAAAATAAAGGTATCAAGACTGTTATCAGGAAATTACCTGGTGACTTTCAAATGTGGGATTGAATGAGGATCCTGGAGGCTCAACTTCTACAGCAGGAATAAGTGATGGCTTCACCGTCTTCAAAAAATTCAATAGACATATATCAACTAAAAGCTATGGAATATTAGCTACAACTGTGGAATGCATTCAAGCAATAACACATCAAACAGAGTTCTGCTTTGAGGCTTATATGACTCCAAGATAACATGTGATCCATTATGCATCTTACTATTCATGAATTATGACTTGGTGGTCAAAGTGGCATATTAGCATGCCTCTTCACGGCAATATCAGTATTGCAAAAAGAGTAACAGAAACAGACAAAAACTGATATGAACAAGAATATGATCATATACTTGAACTTAAATGACAAGCCTTACCTTCTTGGTCTTGCTGTTGTCACCACCTGCAATAGATTCAAAAACAGTAATGTAAGGCAAGGCACCCTATAACAAAATAAGAATAATAATAATATAGAAGAAACAAAGATTTGGTTATTAAGGTTGAAGAAACCTTTATCACCCCATAAGTCAGCCATGCCCAAAGTAGAGACAGAACCCTGAGAGATGTCAAACTAACATTAATAAATTAAAAAAAAGGTAGAAATAGATAATATGTGCATTTTACAATTTAATATTATAACTATCCATCATTCGACCTGAGGACCACATTCAGTTGCATCTTTTGGCTTTGGAACCTCTTTAATTGTTTTCTTCGATTTCTTCAGTGTCGAAGAAGGCACGGCTTGTACAAATGGGTTTTTCTGTAGCATGCTCTCAACATGGAGTACTTTCTGTCTATGTTTTTCAATCTTCCTCTTCACCGAAAGATCTGGTCAGACCAAAGCATATAAGTTCTTTCCACGTACCAAAGAAAATAATCAAGAAAATAGAGAGAATAAAACATAAGAAAGGAACTGGATTGTACAAAACTCTACACTTTTGAGTCGCACCAGATTTCTCGAGCGACTAAAAACCCAATAGACTACCATGAGATTCCATCAGATTGAGTATTTAAAGTCAAGCTGAACTCTATCCAAATCAAACAACCTCTAAATTATCTATCCCCCTTACAATGGAGTCTCATACTCTCCAAACAAAAGGGGCTTTATTTTCTTCCGAAAAAGTATTTCTTAGTAAATGATCAGAGCTAATTTCAGCATCCCATGAAGTTAAAAGAAGCTCCTTTAGCATAAAATGCAACAACCAGTTAAACTTACGACATTGCACTCTTAACACAAAATTATGAAATTCCACTATTATAAGTCTTCTACATCTGAGTCACATTTGAAGTGTTGGAAACATATCTGTATCAATGGTTATAATTGCATTGACGACTACATCAAAGAAAATGATAAGTTCACCAACAAAAACCCAACTCAAAGCAAATTTTAACTGTCTGCAATACACCTTACATGTCCTCAGAAAACCAAATAATTCAATCTTAATCAATTTTCCAATGATGTAAAAGGGTATGAAGGCAAAAGCATCGTGGAGAAAGGAGGTACCTTTGGACTTGTCGACAAAGAAGAGCGACTCGGCGGGAGCAGAGGAAAGAGAACCACCGGAGAGAGCATCTTTGGTTGACTGCTCGAAGAAGTCATGAATGTCTTCTGTACTTATGTTGGCTCTCCATGCCTTCTTTCCCTTTCTAGATGTCTTCGCTTTCTTCCCCATCCCTTTTTCTCTGTTCTGAGTCTCTACTGCGTTGCTCTCTTTGTGGGTTGAAGAATGACTCGGTAGGTACTTCGTCTATAAACCCTAATTCTCAGTGGCGGGTAACACGACGCCGTTATGCGGCCAAAAAAAAAAAATCGTTATTTTCCTTTCTTTTAAATATTTTACAGCTATTTTTCTTGAGATTATTTTTTTAAAATAATTTGAATTAGGTAAAGTTTTAATTTATTACATGTTACATCTTTAAAAAAATTAAAGAACCGAGTATAGGCGGGCGGCTATACTATTTCTTTAAAAATATTAAAAATAAGTCTAGCCGCGCGGCTGTACTATTTCTTCTTAAAACTAGAGACGTATAGCCGGTCGGCTATACTATTTCTTTTATAAAAAAAATTAAAAAAGAGTGTAACCGCCCGGCTATACTAATTCATGTCAAAAAAATTAAAAAAGCGTATAGCCGGGCGGCTATACTATTTCTTTAAAAAAAATTAAAAAACCGTAGTACCGCCACGCACCTATACTATTTAACAAAAAAAATTTGGCAAATTAAAACTTAAAAGTTCTGCCACTGTATAGTATTTTAATATAATTTTTAATATATATTATTTCTGTGTATATTATGTGAGAATTATGTGTATAATACGTTAATTTTGTGTGTGTTATTGAAAATTTTGTAAAAAATACGTGTATTAAATATGAAAAATATGTACGTACATATTCAATACGAGTATTGTATGTTTGCTTTTCAAAAAAATTAGAATTTTAACAAGTCT